TCGTTTGGGGGTGTACACGTGGGACCTCGCCGGACGTGTGTGGACACGTGCGTGGCTAGGGTCCCAGTCGCCTGGCGGCGACAGGCTGGCTGAGCCCCAGTCAGCTGCTTCTTTGTCCCCGGGTCGGAGAAATGCGCAGTTGCAGACCCCTTCCGGGCTCCTCCAGCCCTTAGCACCTTCCGGGAGGAGAGCCTGGGAGGCACGGGGAGCAGGGCCAGCCCCAGCCTCGGCCTCTTGTCGCCCCTGGGGTGGGAGGAGCGGGGAGGTGTTTTGTAGGACACGTTACTCCCGCGGGTCCTGAAAGGCGGGATCTTCCCCTGGGTGGTCTCAGGGCTCTCCTGTTCCCAGCCCCGCTGTCGCCTCGCTTTACCTGCTCTGGAGGGAACACAGGGCTGACTGTCCTCGGGACCTCAGCAGCCTGACTGGGGTTTCTATGGCAACACAGGGGTGCAGGGGGAGGGCCCGAGCCGCTGCCTCGGAAGCAGAGAGTGAGAACCATGGCGTGAGAGCTGGAAAGGCTCTGCGGCCAGAGGCCCCCTGTCCTTTGCCGGTGCAACCGGAGGGTCGCTGTTCTGGAGACCTGCCGTCTCCGCTGCACCAGCCTGCCTAGCATCCCCTGTGCATAGGGCCGGCTCCTCTGGGAGAGCTGCCCTCCCCACCGTAGAGGGCCTGTTGTACTTTAGGACCTTCTCCTGGCAGTCAGCTGTCCCTCACCCCAGACAGGAGGGAGGGTCCAGAGGAAGGGCTGCTCCGGGAGGCAGGGCCCGCTGTCCCTGGAGGGCAGAGGTAGACCTGGGGTGGGACTAACTTGAGCACGCTGGACCCTGCCCCACACTGCTGGTCTACACTGCGTGATGGGGGAGAGGGAGTGAGATCGGGTCGAAGTTCAGAGGTCAAACTACTGGGTGGGGCAGAAGTTCTGGCCTGCGGGCACCCCATGCTCTCTGGACCTGCTAGGTGGCAGGGGTGGTGACAGCCACCCTTTCCCTGCCCTTTCTAGCCGAAGGGCGTGCCTTCTTGTGCTGCAGCCCGAGTCCCCTAATGTGCGACATGCCCCCTAACAGGCAGCCCCATAGACGGGGATGCTCAGGCTGACCTGGCACATGAGCCCATTCTTGGGGTACCAGGGCCCTAGCCGGGTCCAGGCCAGGAAGCAGTGCTGGGCTCAGCTCACAGGCTGCAGACTACTCCGGGCACTGGGGGTGTGGCGGCTGCTTGGCCTTGCCGGTTCAGCCTGAGTCAGGCAGACACAGACACGCACACGCACGCACACACACACACAAACGCGCGCGCGCACACACACACACATGCACACGCGGGACCCTTCCCCAGGTTTCAAGGCTCGACCCTGCCCCTCAGAAGCTATCTCACCCCTTCTCATCCCTTCTCCGGAAGCTGCAGGGAGCCTGAGCTCACCCAAAGTGAAAGAGAAAGTGGCGCCCCCCCAGCCCGCCCCACCCCGCCCTGCGGCCTGGGTGGCAGCAGGGCAGTGGTGGTGGGGGGGCATCTGAGCAGGCGAGGTGAAGGTCACCAGCCCTCCGGGACTGGGTGAGAGCCAGCCTTGTGACCCTGGGCAGTAGCGTCGGGGGGCGCCCTTGACAGCTGGCGGAGAAGGCATGGGAGGCGGGGAGGGAGGCCCCGCAGCTCAGTCAGCTTTCAGGGCTCTGCCCACTGGGAGCCCTCTGAGGCTGGCTGTGGTTCTGGAGCCCTGCCCCGGTGGGAGAGGTCGCCTCCCCTCACCCCTAGAGTGGGGGGCTGTCAACCACAGGGGCCTTTGAGAGTCAGCCATGCCCTCCTGAGACCTGTGTCAGCTGCTGGGTTCCTGCATGTGTGTGTGTCCGGGAGGGGTGGTTCGGGGTGGTTCCGAGGAGGGTGGGCGCAGGGCCGTCAGTGGGGAGGGGCGCGACTGTGGGATGGGGCTGTACCTAGGGTGGCATCCACCAGCTGAGCCCGGGTGGGGAGTCCCGGAGCGAGGAGCAGGAGAGGAGACCCCAGCCCATGTGATGAGCAGTTGTCTCTGCTGGATGTGGGGGATGGTCGCCCAGCCCAGTGCAGACCGAAGTGTTCTGGGGGCAGAGGGGCCGCTCCCCCTCAGAAGCGCCTGGCCCTTTAAGAGCTGGAGCTTGTCCTGTGTGCACGTGAGCGTGTCGTGTGTGAGCGTGGGAGGGAGCGGGCGGCTGGGAGGACTTCGGAGGGGGTGCCTAGAGGGGAAAACGAGTGGCCCCAGGGGTGGTAGGTGGTAGGTGCAGGAGTGAGATGCGGCTGAGATGGGGACTGGGGGGGGGCACTGTCCCTCTGGTGCCCCACCCTTATTCCTGCCCCTCTTCCTTCCAGGACCAAGTGATGGTGGCTGTCCCCTAGAAAGTCCCTGAAGGTGGAGCGCTGCCCCTCCCCCTTGGTCCCATCCACCTTCCTGCAACCTGCTCCCCCTCCTGTCGCCACCTCCACCTCCACCATCTGCCTCCACCACCTCCTCCACCGTCCGCCTCCACCACCTTCTGGCTCCACCACCTTCTGGCGGCCACCTCTCTGACGCCTACCTGGGGGAGCTCGAGTTAAATGGCTGATAAACAGATCAGGTCAGACACCACCTCCGCTTTGGCCTTGGCTGCACCCCCAGCCCTCTACCCCACCTGTGGTGGGGAAACGCGTCCTCACACCCCTTTCCCACAGCCTGCCAGCCAAGCTCATCAATGGCGGCATCGCTGGGCTGATCGGGGTCACCTGTGTGTTCCCCATCGACCTGGCCAAGACCAGGCTGCAGAACCAGCAGAATGGCCAACGCATGTACACGAGCATGTGAGTGCTGCAGGCGAGGAGCCTGGGCTGGGCGGCGGGCACCCCTGCTCTACTCTGCCCTACACCCTGTCGGACGGAGGAGCTGGGGAGGGCAGGGCAGGCTGGGGGAGCTCTCATCTGGTCAGGGCTGGGCCCTTACTAGGCTTGGGACTTGGCTCCTCTGTCACTCTTAGACAGTGCAGGGCTCTGGGCTGGGCTGGGCCGGGCAGGGTAGGGCAGGGCAGGGCTGGGCAGGCACTGGCCCCGTCTGCACTCAGGAGCAGGAGGTGGCCGGGCCGGGCCCAGCTCACTCTCACCCCCTTGGCTGCAGGTCTGACTGCCTCATCAAGACCATCCGCTCGGAGGGCTACTTCGGCATGTACCGGGGTGAGGCTCGGGACAGGGCAGCCTGATAACCCTCCGCAGCCTCGGCTGGGAGGCAGGTGGGAAGGCAGGGCAGAGCGCTGGGCCCGGGTGTAAGTGTGGTGGTCCTGTGGGGGCTTGGCTGCGCCTGTCCTGGGGCCCGTCTGTACAGCCCAGGTGGGGCGGTGGCAGTAGGATGACCAGGAGGCAGCCCTCTGGCGAGCGGCAGCCCTCAGCCTGTCGCCTGGGTATCACCCTCATTTCCCGCTTTCTGCCGTGACTGGCGCGGGAGGACACTGCAGTGGACGGCGTCTCCCCTGTGGTGACTGCGGCTCCTCCCTGCCTTCTGGGGCAGACAGGACCTGGTCTGTGCCCGGGGACTGGGAGGGTGGGGACCACGGCTGTAAAGCAGCTTAGGCACAATCCTCCAGCCCGCTCTCACCCAGATGTAGCCCTGAGCCCCATCACTGAGGGGGGCTCTAGAGCCCTCCTGGCGCTCACCCACACCTGTGTTCTCTTAGCATCCCTACTGGCGTGAGCACTGACTGTCCCTGGGGAGGGAGAGCTTCTCCAGGGAGACCCCCGAAGCTCTAGGATGCAGTCCCCTCCACCCGCTCTGCCCTCAGTACCTCGCTGAGGCCTGTCCTGCCAAAATCAGACAGGAGGTGGAGGGAAAAATGCAGGGGAGGGTGAGTGGAGGGAGTGCCTGCAGGAGCAGGACAAGGAGGGGCTGCCCCTGTCCCCTGGTCCCCGCCCTGCCTGGCACGGCCTGGACCCGAATGTGGGTGAGAGGGCAGGAGGAAGCAGCCAAGGAGTGACGGGCAGGGCTTTGCCAGCCTGGAAGCAGTGCTGGCCCAGAGCCCCCACTGTCCATGCCACTGAGCACCTCCACCCCCGACGCCTGGTGCCAGCCCTGCCTGACCCCTGTGTGCCCTACAGGAGCTGCTGTAAACCTGACCCTCGTCACTCCCGAGAAGGCCATCAAGCTGGCAGCCAATGACTTCTTCCGACACCAGTTCTCTAAGGATGGGTGAGGGGTCCAGTGTGCCAGGCTGGGGGCCAGGTCATGAGCTGCAGGGACCAGGGCAGACTTGAGGGTCCCTAGGCCCCAGACCAAGGGCTGAGGGCTGCCCAGCCAGCTGGATCCTGGCGGCTCTGCCCACCATCAGGCCCCTTGCTCAGGGCCACCTCGACCTATGGGGCAGCTCCCTGCTCCCCCCGCCCCCCTGCCTGGAGCTGGAGTGAAATAGGTGCCGGGGCAGCGGATCCTAGCCCAGCCTGCTGCCCCTGCTAGGCCAGGATGTGGGGGGCACCAACCAGCTCCCCGTCACTGGAGGGTGGGGCAGTGGCTCTGTCTCCCCTGTGGAGGCCGTAGCCTCCCCTGCCTTCTGGGACGAGCAGGGCCCTTCTGTGCCCAGAGACTGGAGGGTGGGGCTTTCAGGGCAGTCCTTTCTTGGGCACACAAGACCCCCAATCCCCATTTCTGTCTGTGGGAGAGCGGCTCTCTCACCCCCTAAGCCCCCATGCCCCCAGGAACCCTCTATTCAGTTGCTGGGTGCCCGTTGCTGAGGGACCTGAGGTTAGGGGGGCTGTACTCCACAGGGCTGGTCTTGCCTCCCCGACGGCCACCCCCTTCACACCCCGGCACAGTGGGCGGCCCCCGACCCTGGGGGAGCGGGGCCCCGCCGCCCCTCAGTGCGGCCTGCGCCCCCTCTGCTGCAGGCAGAAGCTGACCCTGTTTAAGGAGATGCTGGCCGGCTGCGGGGCGGGCACCTGCCAGGTGATCGTGACCACACCCATGGAGATGCTGAAGATCCAGCTGCAGGACGCCGGCCGCATCGGTGAGGGCGTGGGGAGGGCGGCCTAGCTGGCCCGCCCTGCCGCGCACCAGGGAGACAGCAGCCCTTTCTCCCCAGCTGCGCAGAAGAAGATCCTGGCCGCCCAGGCCCAGCTCTCAGCGCAGGGCAGCGCCCAGCCCTCAGTGGAGCCTCCGGCCGCCCCCAGGCCCACGGCCACCCAGCTGACCCGTGACCTGCTGCGAAGCCACGGCATCGCCGGCCTCTACAAGGGGCTGGGGGCCACACTGCTCAGGTGGGGCGGCCGGGGCCGGAGGGCGGGGCGGCCTGCTGCCCTCCCGCTGCCGCCTGGTCACGGCACCTCCCTCCCACAGGGACGTCCCCTTCTCCATCGTCTACTTCCCCCTCTTCGCCAACCTGAACCAGCTGGGCCGCCCGGCCTCCGAGGAGAAGTCCCCCTTCTACGTGTCCTTCCTGGCCGGCTGTGTGGCTGGCAGTGCAGCCC